TTTGGTGACTTGGAGCTACTTGCCTTTTACTTGCAAGTTTGCTTGGCCAGGGCTTAACACGTCATATCAAAACAAATTCAAAACAGTGAAAGCTAGGGTGGGGCTTGTATCTGGGGGGAGGTTTATAACTGGATGTATTTTTGGTTTACAGGTAGATGGGCTGATAACTAGGGGGAGCTTATAAGGGGCACTTTATGGTATACACACAATTTCTGTGCAAACGTTTTGGATACATGTCGGGATCTCAGTGCAGAATGCTAACTCAAGTGCACTTTGAGGACAAGAAACATAATTAGCTAGAAATAAAGTCAGCTAAAGTTGTGAAAGTATATGGAGTATGTGATTCACCTAGCTAGCCGTAGCTTCAAGCTTGGTAGTTTAATTTTCAAACATGTCATTTAAACAAACAAACAAAACAAATACTTCAAGTAAGGATAGCATGGGTAATTGAAACTTAAAGCCTCAAAATGTTCTTTTGTTTCTCACTGTCTTTTTTTTAGCAACTATGAAGACCTGGAAGTTGATTTCCTACTTTGTTGCCATCCCTGGCTGTCTCCTGTGTGCTTACAATGCTGTTCTAAAGGAGAAAGAGCACCACACTCACCCAAGGCCGGAATTTGTACCATATACTCATCTCAGGTTAAGGAAAAAGGTTGGTGAAGAATTTGTTTAAATACTTTCCTTCGTACATGTTTTCATGTATACGGTGGCCTCATGGTTAGTGCACTAGACTTTGAATCAAGTGGCTCAGGTTTATTCCCTGGCTGTGGATATTGTTTCCCATTCCTGGGAAAGTGGAAATGCTCCTAGTCATTTCATGCTACAGAAACCAGAGATAAGCACCGCCCTGATGGGCCACTTGGCTCACAAGCAGACTTTACCTTTGCGTTACAGTAAGCTGCATGCCCTCATGAAAGCTAAGGGAATGCAAATTCCTTACAGAATGATGATCTGGGGGTCAAGATGTGAAAAATAGCATAACTTTGTGATGTATGTCTCTGGCAGCTATCGTTAGGTTGTGACTTGATCCAAGCAACTTTAAACTGAGCACAGTGCTAACTGGCTCATGTAAAACGTTTTGAAATGCCAATTGCAAAAATCAATTCCTTCAGGGCGTTTCAATGTGCTTTTCCAACCTTGAATCTACATTTAAATCATGCGTTCTTGATATTGTTTTCATACTCTCCACAGGGCTGTCAGTAACTTTTGATTCAGCTGTACCCTAGCCTTGATTTTGACATCCGTAACAAACTTG